GATCAGTTAATTGGCTATTAATTATTCATTAAAGATTTTAGAAACAGTGTTGTATGAGAGGCTTTTTTTTTACTTTTAACTTTTGGTTTTAATATTATAAAATAGAAGTTTCTAAACAGTATGCAGTAAGAGATTCTTTTCAATTATGTTCTTCCAACTTATATAATAAACACGTATTACGTTTAAGGCACATGGAAAATAAGGAGGTGACTGGTGACAGCCAGCATGGCTTCACTAAGGGCAAATCCTGCCTGACTAATTTGGTGATCTTCTATGATGAGGTTACAGCGTTGATGGATAGGGGAAGAGCAACTGACATCGTCTACCTGGACTTGTCCAAAGCATTTCATACTGTCCCACACGACATCCTTTTCTCTAAACTGGAGAGACATGGATTTGATGGATGGACCACTCGGTGGATAAGGAATTGGCTGGATGGTCAAACTCAAAGAGTTGTGGTCAACGGTTCAATGTCCACGTGGAGGCCAGTGACGAGCGGTGTTCCTCAGGGGTCAGTACTGGGGCCAGTGCTATTTAACATCTTTGTTGGTGACATGGACAGTGGGATCGAGTGCACCCTCAACAAGTTTGCAGATGACACCAAGTTGTGTGGTGTTGTGGACACGCTGGAGGGAAGGGATGCCATCCAGAGGGACCTTGACAGGCTGGAGAGGTGGGCCTGTGAGAACCTCTTGAAGTTCAACAAGGCCAAGTGCAAGATCCTGCACGTGGGTAGGGGCAAATCCCAAGCACAAGTACAGGCTGGGCGGAGAATGGATTGAGAGCAGCCCTGAGGAAAAGGACTTGGGAGTGCTGGTGGATGAGAAGCTCAACATGAGCCGGCAATGTGCGCTGGCAGCCCAGAAAGCCAACCGTATCCTGGGCTGCATCCAAAGAAGTGTGGCCAGCAGGTCGAGAGAGGTGATTCTGCCCCTCTACTCTGCTCTTGTGAGACCCCACCTGGAATACTGAGTTCAGCTCTGGAGTCCCCAACACAAGAAGGACATGGAGCTGCTGGAGTGGGTCCAGAGGAGGGCCACGAAGATGATCCTAGGGATGGAGAACCTCTGCTATGAAGACAGGCTGAGAGAGTTTGGGCTGTTCAGCCTGGAGAAGAGAAGGCTCCAGGGTGATCTTATTGCAGCCTTCCAGTACTTAAAGGGGGCCTACAGGAAAGCTGGAGAGGGACTTTTTACAAGGGCGTGTAGTGATAGGACAAGGGGCAACGGATTTAAACTGAAAGAGGGGAGATTTCGATTAGATATAAGGAAGAAATTTTTTACATTGAGGGTGGTGAAGCACTGGAACAGGTTGCCCAGAGACGTTGTGGATGCCCCATCCCTGGAGATGTTCAAGGCCAGGTTGGATGAGGCTTTGAGCAACCTGGTGTAGTGGAGGGTGTCCCTGCCCATGGCAGGGGGGTTGGAACTAGATGATCTTTGAGGTCCTTTACAACCCTAACCATTCTATGATTCTATGTTGGAGACTAGTATGTCAGGAGTATTCAGAAGTGCTAAAACAAATGATAAAATTTACAAATTGTAAGTTCATATCACTTTAACCTAAATAATATTTGCGAAGGAAAATCTGTCTTTATCACATCGGAAAACTGCTCAATTGGCATGATTTAAATCAAATCAGGACCAAGGTTGTTTATCGATTTGTTAATGGCAAGTGAATTCCAAAGAATATACTCAAACTGGCACGCAAATCCTCTCTTAAAGATGGATGGAAGTTACAAGCACACATTCCCTTTTCTGAGAATGTACCTTTACCTATGTAAGTGCACTTTCTGTTGGAATTGTGGGTGCTCTGCCTTCATCCATGCGTGCCATTTCCTACAGCCTACTCATGCACACACCAGCGAGAACGCTCCTCATGAGCTCACATACACACACTCGAGGTGTGGGTCACGATGTGTTCAAACTTGTTCTGTCAGTCCAGTAGTTGAAATGCGGGTTACTCACAGCGTCCAGCTGGGAGGCTGCTCTGTCAGGCCTAGGCAGAAAGTTGTAGAGCTGGCACAGCAAACCTGGTGTGGCTGCTCTTCTTTTGCCTTGTGCTCACTCAAAGGTCTCTTCCCCCAGTCACAAATTTTAATGCTTCTTTTCAAGATGGCTCCTTCTGTCCTCAAAAGTTTCTTGATTAATCCTCTGGTTACTATTTGATCTGGCTGATGGTTGCCTTAGGTGAACTTCATCATTGTTAGTCTTTCCCTTCAGCTGAGGGGCAAACACCCTCTCAGAGAACAAACAGTTTGGAATAATCTTTTCCCATCCTACACTCCCATTCCTCTCACATCAGCTGTTGTTACCCGGAATGTGTTGATAAGCAGAGGCTGTGCAGACTCCCCATGTCTCAATACCAGTTGGAATTCTCTGAAGGTATCAACAACTTAGAATCCAGGATTTTAATTTCCTAGAGGAATGACTGTACATTATCCTCTTCTACAAATTTTGCATCCGTGGATAGTAGCTTCCCAAAGGAGTCTTCAGTCCTAATACCTCTTGCAATGACCGCTGCTATGTTTTTGTGCTGCAAAGACTTGCATTTAAATGTTATCACATGAAATTCTAAGCATTTGGAGCATGCACCATTTCTCTAAGGGAATATTCTCATTATTAGACTAAAAAAATGTACCTGATTCTTGTTTAGTCTCTCATTGTGGCCTCATGGTTACTGAGTTCGTTGCTATACAGTAGTTCTTACTGCTCTCCATGCCATTAGTAGTTACAGTACTCTCCTATGAACTTGTACCACAAGTTTATCTGTGGGACTGTGCGCTCTAGTATTAGGAAAAGGGTGTTGTTACCACCATGCTTGTCACAGATGGTTGGTGTCTGTTTGCCAAAGAGAACTTGTCATTTTGAGTCCTGAGTGAGTACATCAGTATGCATGCTGTGTGCCTGGTGCCCCCTTTTGGAAGGATTTGACATCCTGGAGCACTGTGTATCCCAGAGAGGCGTTCAGGCTCTCTGTATTGTCCACACAAGTCTTCTATGTCATCTTCTTCTAAATAAGACCTTAAAAGCCTGTATGAAAAGCTCATACTCCTAATTTAAATGCTTTGTATCGTAGAATGGGAACTTTTTGCAATACCTTTTGCGAAGTCTTTTAGTGGCAAAAATGGTCACTGGAAGCTTGTTAAGTTTTAGTCACTGCAATGTCTGAGCTAGGCATGTGAAGCAGAATAAGTGTCTACGTATTTCTTATGTTTCTTAAGTGACTTAACAAACTTTCAGAGTCCAATATGAAGTTGAAAACTACACACTTTTTTGTCTGTATTGCATCTGAAGTAGACATGGGTGCACGATTTTTTTAGCAGTGTTATGTCACGTACATGGTTTAAAATAGTGCCACTAAATAGATGTATTGTTTAAAGAAGAGAGTCCTATATTTGGCATAACTTTCTAAAAGATATATTTAATAAAATGTATTCGGCAGGTTATGTTCTCAGTGGATTTCCTTCTCTCTCAGAGGAATACATGACTGTTTCACAGCAAATAGAGAAAATAAAAAATCTAAAATTAAAACCGGATTTCCTGATCAACATTAAGGTAATGTAATCTTAAGTAACTTGCCAGTCAGTTTCCTAATTATTAATAGACTCATACGCTGCATAAGTAGAAAGATAATATTTTCCCCTGTGCATTTAAGTATAGTATTTATTGAGCAATAAACTGTTCTCTTTTATATTGGAATGGAATTACGCTAGTTTGTTCCATTATAAGCATTGCTCATGTGAATAATGAACATTTCCTGAAACTTCAGTAGCAGTTACAGTCTTTGTACCTCTACCAATCAGAAGATACAGGTTTTGAGGAAAAGAGAACTTTGAATAGCATGATTATTATAGGATTTTGGATGCTTGTACATCTGCCATTCATGTATTTCAGGAAAAACTTTTCACATATGGAAGATAGAAAGCAAATTGTTTTATTTTTTACTCGCTAATTGTGAAATTGTTTCTTAGTTGTTACTAATTCATCTCATTAACTAATCTTGATTTCTTCATGAGTAGTAATGAGACATACCAGATACTTTACAAAAGTGACTCTGATGTAACCAGAGAAACATAAATCACTGTTAGTGTAGGATTAAGAGGACTTTCTCAGTGTAATTCAAAAGAATGGACTTGCTGGCTGCATCCATATTAGTCAGTAAAACAGGGCAAGAGCGACTCTTTAGACATCAGGCCAACTGTAGTAGAACACAGCTAACCTGTCTTGTTAGTCAGAATGGGGTGTCTGTGTCCAAACTGCCCACTGGGAAGGGCCCTAGGCCTGTGCCATTCTCCAGATTGTGCCCGGCTATTCACCAGGGAGAATACTAGCTGGCCTGCACCAAACTCTGCTCATGGAAAGATCTCAAAACATCAAAGAAACATTTTTTTTTTGTGCTGCTTTTCAGGCAGTTTGGATTTTTTCAGCTACAGAAAGTAAATCTTTGTTTTAATACCATACAGTGAGAAATCCTAGTTCTTGAGAACATATGTTTTATAGTTTCAAGTGCAACAGTATAAATAGAAGAGTGATACTAACTAAACTAGAAAGAAAAGAGAATTCTTGACTTTATGTAGTTACATCATCCTCTCCTCCAGGAAGAAGGCTGAGACTGAATGCTCATTAAAAATCCTTGCCCCAAAGCAAATGAGTAATTTTGCCTTTGATTTCAGTGGGTTCAAGCTGTTTTCACACGTATGTCAGAATTATAACTATTTTTATTACATCAAAAAGAAAGGAAGAAGGGAGATTCTAGATAACTCTGGGGATAACAAAATACTATTATTAGCAGACCAATTTAAAGAAATTTTGTCTCTCCAAGAAAAAGAACAGAAGATGCACCTTTGAAAAAAGAACCATATCTGAGCAAATTTCTCCTTCCCTATTTCAAAATGTGCTGTGTCATATAGAAGTCATGTCAGCTGTATGACTCGCTGTAGAAATACAGAAATATCCTTCAAGAGATACCTCAGGAAATGAGTGTAGTGTGCCTGTTGCTATCAGTGTGATCTCAAAGCTCTATTTTTTCTGTAGAAATCAGTTCTCCATTTCTGTAACAATTTGACATCAACAATTACAATATTTTCTTATTATCTCATTTTTTTCATATATGTTTGAAGGGTAGGTGTTAGTGCTGTAGAAAGGAAGAATGATTATTTATTGTTTGTTGTGCTCCACCCCCAATTCCATAGTAGAATTTTAAGATACCTGTCCTAAGACCTTTCAGAGATCTGGAGGCTCCAAGCGTGTATTAATGCAAGTACAATCTAGGACAGGTCAGACAGAAGCTTTACTATCTGTGATCATAGCGAACACACATTCAGACAGCATCTCCCTCTCTGCTTCCCTGTTCTCTGCTAAGTGATTGCAGAGACCCAACCAGCTTTTTGTTTCAGAAAAAAAAAAAAAAAAGAAGAAAGAGGTGAGGAAAACCAATCCTTTCAATGTTTAGGAAGGCAGATACCCATCCTTGAAATGGATGGACTCCTTAAGCAGCTTGCTAACAGCCGCAATTCTAAGAAGGAATCAAACAGTACATGATGTGACAGTACAGAAAAGAAGGCTCTCAGTAGAGCCTACAGGAGTGGCACACCCAGTATTATCTTGGCTCAGAAGTGGGGAGGTGGAAACAGTCACAGACTGTTTTACTTGAAAGGTATGTTTTAGTTAGGGTGAATGTTTTACTTCAGATGTTTTGTTGGGAATGTTTTAGTTAGGATAAAATTCTTAGGCAGACCTCTCAAATATTAAATATGAATAATTTTACCATCACAGACCACATCCAGATTTATCTGTGTTTAATGTTAAACTAAATTTGGGTCTGCAGGGCTTTTTACGGGAAGACAATTGCTTACTCTTCCAGAGCTCCAAACTGCTGAACTCCTTTCACCTCTGACACAACGGCACTATGTTTTTTGGGTAGAGCTCTGAGAGGTCAGAGGCACCTAGTAAAATTGACTTAATCTTGATCAAGTCCAAACCATTTTGGCATTAATTGGAAGAGCAATCACAAGCCTATCTGCAAAATACTTTTATCCATAAATTATGCTTACACTTGTTATACTACAAGGTATAACTTGCATGGTAAAATGTGCTCAAGTAGTGGCTACACTTCTGATATGGAATGTAAAATGCTGATGGAGAAAAACTATGCAAGTGTTTAAGTTTTTCTTTAATATTTGTTGCTTTTGAAAATTTTGTGTTTACTCAGAATGTTATTGGAGAAGAAGTTTATGAATCCAAATATTTGCCAAACAGACTCCTACTTCCTGTTCTGAAGTTTCAGGAAAAATAATATTATTATAGCAGTACAACAAACGCATGGTTTCCTTTTAATTATTTCTTGCCAGTGTTCAGATTATGACTTATGCCGAAGAATATCAGGACAAAGGCAACACCCTGATTCAGGGCAGGTATATCAGAGAAACCAGTGGGATTGTAACGTTATTGAAAGGCAGAAAAAAGAGAAAGATCAGTATGAAGAAGAGAATGAAGAAAAGGATGAAGAACAGGAAGAAGAGGTAAATATTGCTAATTTCTAAACAATGCGAAGTATTATAATCTACTCTAGACAAAGCAGTACAAATTCTGGTATTCTAAACTATTACCATACTACCTTATAAGTTAACTTAGCTCAACTTTAATCCTAATTCAGTTTCTGTTATGCTTTAAGAGATGTGAGATGATACTCAAATGGTAGGATTAAATGACAGCAAATGGTGATTATTGTATCGCTTAATCTGGATTCAGTCTCAAAGTCAGAAGTCACTGAACTGTTTCTTGCCAGAAGTTAAAACGGTGCATCAGGAGAATGATGGCTCTATACTGTCTGTTTCTCGGTCTAAGCAAGTTAAAGAGTTCTTAATTTTTATTTATTGTAGCATGTTTTACTAGTATTTGCAAGATACTAGCTTGTTTTCTGGTTTTGGTGTTAGGCTACTACAAATGTATTTCCTTTTTTTTCCACAAAGGTATTAATTTTGAATTCAGGTTGAATTGTTCTGGTTTATAATACTGGCCAGAGACTTATCAATGCAAGTTCTAGGCACATTCCTCTCAATTTGCGAAAACTACACTTCATCAGGATAGGATCATGTTCAGCAATCACTGGACTAATACTCATTGCAATACTCTGGAAAGCTACTTTATTTATCTTTAAGTAAAGAGAAAAAATAGTTTAATACATTATTTTATTTCTGTATCTTGAAATATTTAACTTTTCATTCTGCAGACTGCAGAAGATCCACTTACAGTGTCAGAATTTTTGCATCAATTAGTGCAGAGGCCTGAAGATATTCTTGAAAATGCAGAGGAAAGAGTTGGAATGTATAAGGATATAATGCTTCATCCTTTAGAAGTAAGAAAAAGCAAAATGATATGATTATGTATAACAAAAGATTTTTTTAAATATCTTGCACCATTTTATTTTTTTTCTGTTTGAGTTTTATTGTATGGAGGTGGGCACAAGGCAAGCTACAACATATCTCCAAGTTCTGAAATTCATACTGAAATCAGTGATACAAATTTGTCGTCTATAGGTGTTGTTTCTACTCCCGAGTCAAGATAAAGTAATCCAGTGTGAGTTTTGAAAGTGAAACCGTACCTGCCACCACAGGCACTTCCTAAAGAGACTCTATTTAAAGAGTCCAGTGTATCATCACCTTACCAGAGTCCATTCTAGCATGCAATCACATAAGATATCTGCTCTTTGCATCCATTGCCTTCCACTCCAGTAGGTTCCCTTCCTTACTTGCTTCATTGCCTGCAGATATATATACACAATAATTAGCCCATCAGTTTCCTTCATCACCTGTTTAGTTTCTGCAGCTGTGATGTTGGTTTTTTTCTTTCCTTGTTGTGTGTGTTCAGGAAAGTTGGATTTACTAGGTATCTTTCCCCCCGCCCCCCCCCCAAGAAAAACCACTAGAACAGGTCCAAAGCAATAATTAGTTCTTTTTTTTTTTTTTTTTAGTCTCCTGGTACAAGCAACTGCAAAAGCCTCACGTTTGCTGCACACTTGACTTGCCCTTCAATTTTCCTTTGGGTTAGATAAACCTATAGATAAAATTGTGTTAAACTAGTATAATGTTCTTTGCTAGAGTAACAAACTTGTTACTCCTGCGAAGGGGAAAGCAAAAAATATGATATCTTTAGTCATTATGCAATTTCACATGGATTTCTTGTAAGCGAACTAATGGAAAGTTGTTTAGATTAAATTACTTTAGGATGTACACCAAACTTCAATGCTGAACATGCTTAGTGGCCCACTAATACATTAAAAGAACATAAGGGTCTATCATTGGCCCAGGTAGAGGTTGAGATGATGAAACTGAAAAAAAAAACCTTATAAGAAGTGCAATTTGCACTGAACTGGGATAGGTAGAAAGAACTTTGGAAAACAGACTTTGATTTCTTGATGAATTATTCAGATGAAATTGAGTAGAAGTGTGAAATACTACAGTTAGGGAGGAAAACTAATGAGCAACTACAGCGTGAAATAACTGGCTAGACCTCAATATTGCAGACAATCTGCAGTCTGTGGGGTTTTAGTTAGTCATAACCTGAGTCAGTAAACGCGATGCTATTGTACAGAAGTGAGTATTATGGATGTACTAATAAGACCATTGTATGTAAGAGAAACACAATTATCTTCTCTGTAGAGGAATATTAGAAGTAATTAGTTATTATCTATTTCTACCAAAGATAGGATAAATAATTTAATTTATAGTATGGAAGACTTAGGCTAGATGCAAGGAAATGAACTCTGACCATAAGTATAGTGAAGAACTGGAACTGATTACCTACAAAGTTGCAAAGTCACCTTCACTAGGCATTTTCAGGGCTGGGCTTAGACCAACATCTGTAAGAATGGAGTGAATGTTCTCAGTCCTCAGACAGAAACATTAACAACAGACATGTGATGTCTATTTTAGTCTTATTTAATAATGGGAAAATTGAAAATAAGAAAAATCAAATATTTTGTTCAAATTTTACACAAATTGGGAGTCAGGACCAAAGTGAAAACATTGGTCTCATGGCTGGAATTTCCAAGAAATCTGTTAATTGACATTGTCACCGTTTTCCAGCAGAGAATTAAGGTAGTTAGACAATTAGAAATTGAATTCATACACAAAACATTACCATATCTTGATTCTTTGTAGCTTTCTTGCATTTGAGCTGGGATATCTAATCTGTTTTCCAAACCCATTGCAACTCCAGTTTTGTAATTCTCTCTGTATTTATCCATCACCAAATAAAAGTTTCTCTCCAGAAGATTTTAAAAGTCATCAGTACAACGAATCTTGGTTTTGCTGAAGTACACAGGAGTCCAGCCTTTGATACGTATAGGAACAGAATGAGCTTCAATGTCATTATCTGGTTAACTACGCTCAGTTGATGAGTATGTCTTTGTTCTTAAACAGGACTTGATGGCTGAAAAAGATTGTCAATATCTTATTGAACTGGATGGAAATCAGCAACCCGATGATCTCATTGAGGTAGGCAAGCTATGCACCAACTTAGTTAACCTCCACTAGAAAATAATTTCCCAGTTCTGCAGATTGTTTTCTTTAAAGGTGTTGGCAAAATTTTAAGTTTGCATATAAACCTCACTTAATTACTGTTAGAAAACATGACCTTTGAAATGCTTGTTTTTCTTGCTCTGTTAAAACATTATAAAATTCACTGCACTGCCCCCAGGCTCATATATATTTTTTATGAAAATATTTTCAGGCAGGCTGCAAACGCTTTTGCATTGTATCTCTCTGATGTTAGTGCTTTATTTTGTGTATTACTGTAAAGTATCGTTATTAACATGAGAAATTAAAACATTTTCAGTATGGTATATTTACAGAATTGGATTCTTTTATGCTGGTGTCTAAAATAATGACATAATTTTTATGAACTTTGATATTGTTTTACAGCATAATAGAAGACACTTCATTCTTTTAACAATTCTGCTGAGTGCTTGTGTTGAGATTTTTATCTCATAACACAGCAACTCATTTTCCCTATTAAAAAACTACAATGGTAAAATTTAAAGATAAATAGTCCTAACCTCTGCCTCTAGAAATAAGAAAGAGCTGCTTCAAAGCAGAACCTAAAGAATGGGTTTGAAAATGAAAGATTCTTTGACAATGTAGGAAGTGAGCTGCTCCTGCAGTTTCCCCTCTGTTTTTTGAAACAAATTGAATCAATTATATTTCTGTAAGTGTTATTTCAATTTATGCTTAACTTTACTACCAAGAAAAAACTCACTAATTTTGCAGAGTTCGAAGATAAAATTTCCTTATGTATGTTCTGCTTGTGAACATTACAACAGAAGATTTGTAGTAAAGGCAATCAAGTTGAATGATTACAACAGGGAGAGGCTGTTCAGGAGGGCCTGTTGTGATAGGACAAGGGGTAATGGTTTTAAAATAGAGGGAGGTAGATTCAGATTGGATATTAGGAAAAAATTTTTTACCATGAGAGTTGTAGAACACTGGAACAGGTTGCCCAGAGAGGTGGTGGATGCTCCATCCCTGGAGACGTTCAAGGCCAGGTTGGACGAGGCCCTGAGCAACCTGATCTAGTTGGAGATATCCCTGTTCCTTGCAGGGAGATTGGACTAGATGATCTTTGAAGGTCCCTTCCAGCCCTAACCATTCTATGATTCTATGATTCTATGATTCTATGATTCTATGATTCTATGAATAATGATTCCAACCATTTTACCTATAAGTAAGACAAAGACCTGTTATGAAACTAGTCCGAAGATGGCAAAACTTGCTTTTTCATTTCAAGAACACTTGCACTGAAGCAAGATTACGTTCAGGAAATACTTCAGTTAAATTTAATATCGTCCAGTTCTCATTGGCAGACATCTGGTTTAAGTATCTTCTTAAACAAATTACACAAAGTTTTATTACTTTCAACTGTGCATAATCTCATCTCCTAAAGAGACTTTCCTCCTTTTTAGATTGGAGCTCATCTGAATACTTCCACTGCTTTGTGGGAAAGAATCCTTCACAGCCTATTCCTTTAGAAGGCTTGGGATTCACAGCATAATGAGGAGATAAAAAGGCTGTGATTAAGCATTTTGCACTGCCTGTGTCTACCAAGTAGCTTATTAAAACTCCGCTCAATGCCTAGCATGACCCCCAGCTAGTAATAGGGCCTTAGTGTATATGTAGCCATCATATAAATAGTACGTTGCAATTTAAAAAATACTTTGGAGATCCTTTCGGATCACAAAAGCAGTTTTGATTGGTACTAAGAGTTATTTTCTCTTCAGTCGGTGGTAGTTCGACTTCAATCTCTGGGTGTTCAAACTGGCGCTCCTATAACTAGACTTCAAAGTCAGCAAGAAGAAACGCTGGAGGGACTGAAAAACGTAAGTGTGCTTTTTTAAAATGTGATTGACTATAATAATGAGAACAATATTTTTTATTTTCTGCTGTAAGCTTATAATGTAACATCTTTGTTTCACAGCAACCAGTTTCTTTTACCATGCAATACTGGCATTTTCTGAGCCTTGATTTTTCAGAAATATGAGTTTAAGATAATTTCAGGACTTAAATCCACTTAAAAGAGTATGAAAAAAAAAGTTTGTAATTAAAAAAAAAAAAAGTTAGGTGATTATAATAGTATTGTGAACAAAATAAAGGAACTTTAGCCAAAGGATAACAATCTCAGCAGCTGACTCTTAGTTCAGTCTTTACACTTTTCCTGAATGAGAAACAGCATGCTAATACAAATTTAGCAACAGCCTACATAGCTGAAATCACATACATTGTATTTCCTGTAATTAATGAGAAACATGACAAGTGAGTGCTGAATTTTTCTGAATCATGGCACTTACCATACTTTGTGTCCCTTCCAAATAAAACTGAAAAACAGGAGTCCTTGCGTAAATGTCCTCACCTATATTCACTTACAGTCATCTTTCCTTTTTCCTGAACAAAACTTTCAGCATATGAATGGTACAGTAACTGGGAGACCACGCTACACAGTTTCAGAGAAACATGCACCTCTTCACTTCTCTGTTTTCTCAGTTCCACACAAGTTCACAAGTGAAGGACTTTCTGTGTCAGAGGTCATCTGTATTTATTATTTAGTTGGTCTGTGTGTTTGTGTTAGTCTGTGTGTAATCTTTTAGCATCCACAGTATTTGGGGCATGGAGTTCTGCAGCTTAACTGGACATGACATGCAGAATTGCTTCCTTTTTTTGTTGAACCTGCCATATTTTAGCTCAGTGTTCTCCAGATGTTGATATGCAAAGTTCAGTAGATAGTTTTGTTCTTTGTGTCTGCGCTCTGATAACTTGTGAATACAGACTTCTGTCCTGCTGTTGTGTAGCTGTCTTGTTCCTGGACTGAAGGGTTCCAGTCTACTTAATCTTATTTCTTCTTACATGAAGAAGAAATCATGTAATAGATCAGTCATATTACCTTTCTCTGAAAATTTTCCAATTTAACTGCGTACTTTTTGAAATTAGGGTAGCAGAATGCACATAGCAGTAAAGATGAGGGCAGGATTTATACAATAAAACCCTAACATTTATATTCTATTCTCTCTTTTCTAAACATTCCTTACATTCAGGTTGGTTTTCTGACTGCTCTTTGGCATTGACCAGATGTTTTCATGGAAGTATGTATTATAATTCCAAGATCTATTCCTGAGTAGTGACAGTCAATGACAACTCATCATTATCTGTGTAAAACTGCTATTTTAATGCCTGGCCTCCTAGATTCTGAAAGTCCTGCAGTTCTTCACAGTCAGTAATTGTCTGTACTATTCTGAATAATTTAGTTACCGTAACGTTTAAGATTCACTCCTATTCACCATCTGTAAGAGGTCTATTAAACTTAATCCTATCACATGACGTTTCTGCATGCCTAAAAGAGATATTTTGGCCTTGCTATTCCCCCCCACAGGTCCCTTTCTTCATCTCCTTTCTTCATTTAGAAGAAATCTTGGCCATTTTCTGTTGTCGTCAATAAATGGCTGATTTATACATCTCTATAATTTTAAACTTCTGTAAATAATAAATGAAGCCTACAGGAACTATTTTAAGTACTATATTTATTAAACAAGATCGAAATACTAAATAGTTTCTCCTTAAAATTCTGAAATACATACATTTTTTTAAAGAATCTAAAAAGCATGATGTGGTTTTCTTTTTAGGTTTGCTTATTTTCCAACAAAATGTCTCAAAAAAGGCTAAGAACAAGGCATGTGTAGGTTCAGACATAAATTACATATGTTGTTATTGCTTTTTTAATAAACAGGATGACCTTTTCCGGGTTCTGTCATCTTGCAAACTACTAGCACACAGGTATCGATGGCGTAGAAGCAGGTGGGGACAAGCATGTCCTGTGGCTCTGAAGGAAGGTGATATTGTAATGGGAAACCCAGACTTGGCTGTCAGGTTAGCAGAATTGCTCACTTTTTATTTTTATTTCTATTTTATAAGATAATTGTCTATATCTGTTAGCTTCTCTTCTGTTTAAGTTTTCTAGGTAAAATGTACATGCTGTCATCCTCAGAGGCATTGAAAACATTTATGTTGAATCCACGGCCTTACCTGTTACCACCAATGCCACTTCCTCCTTGTAAAGTGCTAGTATTTGGTCCTCCATTCTCTGGAAGAACAACTATTTGTAACCTAATCGCACACAAATATAAAGGAAAGGTATGTTTATAAATGTTTTATGTAACAAGGGTATCAGCTGAGGCATGAGAATCAGTTAAGCACATTCTTATTCCTGTCGTGTTGTTAGCACACACATTGCAAACAAATTATTACAGAAGAAGCATAGTAATTTAGTGAAATTGATTTATATAAAAGTAGCCACATTTAAAAAAAAAAAATTACTCTCTATGTAAGAATAATATTTGTGTCAGTTATTTATCTTAGCATAAGAATATTATAACTTTTGTATCTAATATAATTAAATGTAAATGAAAATTAGAAATAATTTTTCCACAAAAAATAACTGCAATCATATGCAAATTTTTCTGAAATTTGCAGAGCTTTTCCAAATTCATTTCATTGTATAGAAGTTGGATCAAATCCTTTGTTTCTCTTCTGTTCTATTTTTATTTTTTCAAATTGTTTCGCTAGGTTCTTGATGTGACCAAACTCATTCAACCCCATATCGAAGAATCAAGAGAGGAAAACATTGAGCAAGTGCGAAGGGATGCAGTAGAAAAGGCGGTAACAACAGTGAAAAATAGGTTGGAGTTAGAAAACCAGTCAAGAGAATCAGGTGAATAAGGTTGTTCTATGGTCTTTGAAGCTAACTTGTTTGCTACAAGTTGTTTAACTGCAGGAATTGCTGTCACTTTGACTTACAAAATATTACAGAAGTTGTTAACTGTTGTTGTGCATTAACTATGAGCTTAAAGAGCATGCAGTGAAAAGAACAGCTGAGTAGAATTCAATATTTTTGATATTAAATGTAAGGAATTCCTAAGCAAGGAATCACCATATTTGGCTTACTCATGGGCAGATACATATCTAGCAAGAAGTCAGTATACTCCTCTGGTGCTGCAAAACATAGAAGCTCACAGTGATACAAAAACCATTGATGTTGCAGCAAAAATAGTGGTGAGCTATGACACCAAAATTAAAACTATTACGCAGTGTTATGTTCCAGATTCCTGGCTATGTAAATACTTTTGAAGACAGGTAAGTGAAATCATATTAGGATTAACGAGAACTTAAGCCTAATTAATAACCTTGGAGACCTCGAGCAGTTTTATTGCAAAACAGAACTTCAAACAGATGAAGGATGTAAATTGTCTTGGAAAGTAAGAAAGCTTCGGAAGGGAAAATCAAATAGTTTTGGAAGCTTGAATCTAGATCTAGAGGTAACTACCCCAGAAAGTATTTCTTTTCCTAACAAAATTATTTATTTAATTACATAGTAAATTCTGCCTTTTGAGAGAATTACAGAGAACGCAAAAGATATGTATCAGTTTAATTAGGTAAATGGCCCTCTGCCTGTCTTGAGTGCTCCCAAGTCCAGTTCAGGGATAGACACTGAGGCTGTGAAACTCAACGGAAGTTCGCAGAGTTTCTGTCTACTGTCAGAGTAGGTCAGGAGATTGAAGCAGTTGGTGCTAAGGACTTGATATCCATGTCATGCACAGAGGACTTTCAGACTAGCTGTATTGTGATCTCGAGGGCTGAACACTTAATGGTTTCACCATAGTAAATGTGCGTCTGAAAGGAATTAATTAGTTTGCATGTTCCAAGACTGCTTTGTTGTGTGTACCAAAACTTGGGAAGGATCAGGAGATTCACTTAAAGCATACTCTTCTGGTTCAAACTAAAAAGGTAACATACATGTGCTCAAAGGGTCTCAGTCTGTTAATGTGCTCAGATGGCATCCAGCTCGAACAGAACCACATTGTTCTGTTTGGGGGAAAAATAGGGGAGCATATTAAATCTGTTGAACTGAAGAAGTTTTCAGGACTTGTGTATTTTTTAACTATTTTCTGGATTTTGTCATATTTCTGATCTCTTTTCTTTTAAGGGGAAAAACAGACATACAAAAACTGGTACTGCTACAGAGCCATTTGTGTCTCATAGGCTGGTGGGTACTAGTCTTGCCTTCTAGGGCTGGAAAAGTGCTTGGAGGTGTGTTGGGGGATTCCACAGATTGGGAGGCTGCAGACAAAGAGTAGGCTGTCATGTAGCTGGTTTAGTCAGGTGGATTTTGTGTTGAAGTATTTGTGTAAAAGGGTTTTCTAATGATCTAGTTTTCTGTGAATTTAATATGATTTCATAACTATAGGAGACTTGCAAGACCATAGTAGTGTCAAAGAAGCAGATGATTCTGAAGAAATCACTAAAACCAGAGAGGGAGTAAACTTGGAAGAGGAGACTACTATAAAATCTGCCATCATCCAAAAAGGTAAAAAGTAAATCTTAGCTATTTCAAGCATGTCATTCTGTTCCTTCAGTGTGTGTTGCAAATTAAAAAGTGAAAGTTTGGGGTTTTTTTTCCTTATTTACACTTGTAGGACTATTTTAAATTTTTTCCCTGTTGCTGATACTGTCATTATGAGAAACCTAAAATGAAATGGTTAATTTTGTTATTGAAAGATATTAACGCATTAATTCCACATTAGTGTACAGGGGAAAAAAATCCCACTGCCCTTTGTAGGAGCTAAGCATGTATTGTTATGAAAAGTTTGATATTTTCACTTACGTATCTATAGAGTAAGATTGTTTCAGAATTTTGTAATAGATGAGAATAGGTATTAACTCACACACAAACAAAAGAAGTAAGGAGAGGATCTGAATTTAGGAGTGGGAATTTTACTACTTGAATATGGGAAACTGAAAAGTATGCTAAGTTTTAATTAACCTGCTGAAATATACTTAAAGAAATAAATATGTTTGTAAGCCTGACATGGTTTACAAAGAGTAGGATTTTTTTCATACAGAACAAATCGACATTAACCAAGGAAGACAGATTATTAGGTAGATCCAATTAATGGACATTAATGAAATATGTTTATAAGGATCTAAAATGGAAATGAAATAAATGTGGATTGTGAGGTAGTTTTTACAAATTTCTTTATCTTTTTAAAGAAAAACATTTGTTCCTGCAATTCTATTCTTCCTTTAATTTATGACATTCTCTACCAGCAAAAGATATTGAAGAGAGCACTAAAGAAAGGTCTGTTTCTTGGACTGGAAAAGTAGAATACATATCTTCGGCTATGATAATTCTAAAGTCTGTTTGGTTTTGGGTTTGGGTTGAGTTGAGCTTTTTTGCAGAGTGGAAGCACTTAGAAAGATATTGTCTCTTTTTCCAGTGAGCTCGTAACTTGGCAAAAATAACCTAATCGTGTAAATTTGTACAAAGTATCAACACAATCAGTGAAAAATCTTGGCATAATTATAGAAAGTAAATATGGCTTTTTTTCCAAATTTTACTCTTCACATAGTAGATATTGCAGTTGCCTAAAACAGTTCTTCACCAAATTTTACCAAATTAGTATGTAAACTGTGAACTAACTCTAAGTGTTCCTTTAAAAATTTTTAAACAATTGCAGTCTGTTGTGTCAGCAATTAATAAGAAAATATGGATCCAATATGAACATTTTGTGCATCTTATGGAGTGCAGGCTTCTTGATTGTTGAAAATATCTTGTCTTGATTTATAATTTGTATTGATTTTTAAATTAATCTGGTCAAATTTTTATTTGGGAATCAAAGAGAAATTAAATCAAAGGAAATTCTCAGATTCTGCAGCTGCCTATTGTTCTAGTACTCAAAAGTAATTCCATTCATATTGAAGCAATATTTCACTTAGTGGTAGAAAATAACTGTACAGTTAAAAAGGTGGGTTTTTTTGTAATGAGAAAGCAAACTAAGATCTTAAAACCTACCTTTAGGAAATAAGCCCTAGAACTGCATTCAGAAGAACTGCTATTTGATTCTTTCTCAGTATGATTGTGTAATATTGCTTAAAATTAATTGTGAAGTGGTTGGATTTAATTGCCTAGGGATTATTCCTGACAAAAGGAAATAAGTATTTCAGAATTTTGTGAAGCTCTTTAACAGATCTATATTGTTAGGAACATCAAAGATAAGTGCTGACCACCCGGAAGTTCAAGCAATGGTAGAAGAAGCCATAAAAAGTGCATCAGTCTCCGAAGTCACACTGTCACCTGGAATATATGCTGAAGTACTGAAGAGAGCTATTGCAGAGGTAAAACTACAAGTACTTTTTTTCAAAGAGCAACCTGTAACAGTTTATACATTATTTATATATGTTCTTAATTTTTCTGTTTGAGAGATCAATTTAGTTTATATCACATAATCTGAAAGCTTACATAGAATTGAGGAGAGACTGAGCAAGATCATGAAAGACAAGTCTATTGAGGACTATGCTATATATATACAAATTATTTCTGTCTTGCAAAATACCTGGACTACAAATCCTTAAAGGCCTGGGAAAATTGTTTGAGGGAAGTATCACTGTATGCTTGCCCTATTCTTATGCTCTTAGTCACTATTGAAGAGCCCAACACCAGATACAAGCATTTGAAAAGAATTGTATGTGAAGCTTTACCTGAGAATTGTTTTAAATTCATTCAGTGGTTTGTAACTATTGAAACCAGAATCTAAATTCTTTATAGGCAACCTTAAAAAATCACTGACACATAAATCTCTTCTTGTTTAAAATGTTTATATTTTATTCGGCTGTATATAGTTAGAAATGTCTTACTTTTTATTGACATGAAATGACAATAGGGAAAAATCATAACATTCAGAAAATAATTTTGTATTGCACAGTCTTTTTGAACAGCTCACAGCTTAGTCTCTTTATGTTACTGATCCTGACATTTTGTAACAGCTTATGAAGAAGAACAAAGACCGGTTTCCTGGTGCTCCAGAAAAAGGAGGCTGGGTAGTGGATAACTACCCTCTGTCAGTAGATCACTGGTCAGCTTTATCAGAAAAAGGACTTTTACCTGACACTGTTGTCTGTCTGAAGGATACTGAAAAAGATGGTTAGTAAATACACACTAATGAAACTTAATATTTTCATTTTTTCTGAGTCAATATCTGTATATAAAGCACACTTACAAGAAAAACTGGTAGTTGTGTTCCATTTATAAATTTTCAAGGATCTAGAGAAGCAAGAATCTAATGAATCAACAAGGGTTCCCCAAATTTCTTACAATTTGGATTAAGGAAATTACACAGAATTGAAAACAGAAATGCTTTACAAAAGCAGTAAAGAAAATTCCTCTTATTTATAATCCCATTTACAATTTTCTCCTATTTACAATCAGCAGTAAATACCACTGGACTCTTGCAGTTTCAGACTTTTGTATTCTGTGTCTGGCTGGCCACCAGCTTACGATGAGGCTCTTAGTCAAATTTCCCTGCCTGTGCCTTTGTTTCCTGACTTGCCAAATGTAGTTATAGATATGAACTTTCTCTGCTTGAGAGAAAAGTGGTGGGGGGAGAAATACCTGTATGCAGGTGTATCCTGTTCCCCAACATGGGGTCAAAAAAAGTTGAGCAACTTCTTATCCAGATTGATACAATAGCTTAATATCCATGAATTCGGATTTTTACTTTATTGTTTCAAGCAGGAAGGAAGGTTGGTACCAGGCATGAAAAACTGAACGGATTCATACACTGTTAAAAGTTTTGCCTGCCAAATCATGTCTTAAGGGATTATGCCTGCTTGATTCATACTACGCCACAAGTTTCATTGTCCTGTGGCAGTGTTTGATCATGACCTGTTCAGCTCAGTCTATTAGCAAAAGGTGCTAATTGTGCTAATTAAGCACAAGGTGCAGTTGTGGAGTTTACATTTTCACAAAATTTTCAGTCATTACTTTGTAAGCTATTCCCTGAACTAGTCTAAACTGGCATAACTCCAATGGTGGAAGTGGATTTCAGCCACTCTTTTTGCCAGAGTAAATGAGTCAGTAGAGTTCCTAGCAGGAACAGCATATTCTTCATTTCTGTCAACCAGCTATAGTAGTATAGGTAGGTACATGCTTTATATTTTTTATTTTAATGTTTTTCATTTGTTCATAATTTTCTTCATACACATACAAAGAAAATAAATACCAGAGTAATGCATGATATACAGAAATATAAAAAAAATCCTTTCAGTGCTATCTCCCCTTATAACCTTCATCATAACCTTCCCATATCCCAGACTAATTTTTTTGGTGCTCAAAACTGAAAACAAAGCTCTAAAACCTTAGAAAGCAACAGTATAATAACATTTCAATGGTATGTATGCCTTTTCTTGGCTTTAAAAATAAGTAGGAATGTTGTTATAATTATTATTTAATTATTTGTTATTATTATTATTTATTTAATAATAAATTTCCTGACTCAAATAACTTTAATTTTATATAGATGCATGAAACTCATTACTGCTGTGTAATTGTACTGCAGGAGTCTGTATACTACGCAGAACATACTTAGCAAATAGGGATGAAATTAATTCCAAGATTTTGAAAAGATTAATGCACGAAGCATTAGAAAAGAAAGAAGAAGAAGAAGTAAGGTAAAATGTTCCAAATATCAGAACGTATAAAATGAGCACGAGAAAATTCTAGCCTTACTTTGTGTGAAAAGTATCAGTGCATTTATCAACACAAATGTACTAAAAAAGTACACTTAGACTAATTATGATGTGTAGGAAATAATCCAATATGTGTTAACTTTGAGGAATATCTCATTTAGATCAGTAAATATGGTGGCAGAAGATTCTCTTGCTAAGTGTATTTTCATTAGCCTTTTGATGCAATGAGACAATAACATTTTAGATGATAAAATATATTTGATTTTTATTTTATACAACCCAAATTATATTTCAATTCCCAACAATATATTTCCACATTTACTGCCCAAAGAGTGGTGGTAAATGGGGCTAAATCCGGCTGGAGGCCGGTCACCAGTGGGGTTCCCCAGGGCTCAGTGCTGGGTCCAGTTCTGTTTAACATCTTTATCAATGACCTGGATGAGGGAATTGAATGTACCCTCAGTAAATTTGCGGACGACACCAAGCTGGGAGGCTGTGTCGATCTGCTCGAGGGTAGGGAGGCCCTTCAGAGGGATTTGAACAGACTGGATCGTTGGTCTGAGGCCAATGGCATGAGCTTTAATAAGGCCAAGTGCAGAGTCCTTCACTTGGGGTATAAAAACCCCAAGCATCGCTATAGGCTCGGGGAAGAGTGGCTGGAGAGCTGCCTGGCGGAGAAGGACCTGGGGGTGTTGGTTGACTACCGGCTTGATATGAGCCAGCAGTGTGCCCAGGTGGCCAAAAAGGCCAATGGGATACTGGCGTGTATCAAGAATAGTGTGACCAGCAGGA